CAGGAGTGCCCGTGCCCCAGCCCACCCCGCTGGCAGCCAAGAGGAAGGCCATAGGAAGCATGTCCATCACCAAGTTCATGAAGAGGCCTCGGGGCGCTGAGCAGGTGAGTTCTTTGTGCGCCCCTCCAGCCACTGTCAGACCCTTTTTGTGGGGAAATAAGTGAAATTATGGGGATAGAGATGGGTTTCTTTTGTGTTGTCTGCAGCTTGGACTCTGTGTTCCATTGGGAACGTTGCTCTCCTGCTGTTCCTCCATTCTCTGCTGTTTGGCAGTGATTGCATCCAAGCTGTGAATAGTTGGAGAGTCTGCTTGGCCTTGGTTTTACAGCTGGGTGTAATTTGTGTGCAGGTTTTATGTGTGCCTGTGGCTGCCAGATGTGCAGCCCGGGCTGATGACTTACAGCAGTTGCATGTGAACGGATTAAATGTGGTTCCCAAGTGCTGCAACTCAGCCCAGAGCAGTCTGTAAAGGCTCCAGCTCATCCTGACACACATAAAGCTGAATTTCAAGAGCTGGTTTAAAAATACAATAACTCATAGGGACAAAATGAGGTAGAATTGCAGTGCTTGCTGCCTGGGAGCTGTGTTGTGGTTTTCCTGTTGTTGCTTCTGCTTTTCATGGTGACCACAGGTAGTGCTGGAGCCTCCTCATGACTGAAAAATGGGAGCGTGGAATTCCACAATGGTTTGGCTTGGGAGGGACCTTAAATCCCACCCAGTGCCATGGCAGGGACACCTCCCACTGTCCTTGGGCACTGCCAGGGATCCAGGGCAGCCACAGCTGCTCTGGGAGCTCCATCCCACCCTCCCCACCATCACAGGGAGCAATTCCTTCCCAAAAAAATCCCAAAATCCCATCCAGCCCTGCCCCCTGGCAGTGGGAGCCATTCCCTGTGTGCTGTCCCTCCATCCCTTGCCCAAAGTCTCTCTCTGTGTTCCCTCTTGGCCCTTTCAGGCCCTGGAGGAGCCACAGCTGGGTCCCCACAAAGCCTGGGATGCTCTGTGGAGGCTTTAGGTGCTGGAAATTGGGGTTACCAACCTCTGGTTTCCAATGCCCCGGGCAGGGCAGGGTGTGAAATCCCTGCCAGTGGATTTATTCCTCCTTCCCTGTGTACCAGCTTAGGAAAGAGCCCCAGAATGGTTTGGGTTGGGAGGGACCTCAAAGCTGATCTCATTCCACCCCCCTCCCTTGGACCACAGATGAGGCTTTTGATGCTTTTTATGCTTTGCCTTCCCAATTTATTCTTGGCTTTTTTGGCTTTTCTACTGAAAAAGCTCAGCATTCAGGTATTGATAGAGATCAGAGACTTGTGAGAAGCTGTTCAGCCCCCAAACTCCATCTGCTTGGGTTTTTTCTTGTACACTAAATAAAGGCAGAGATAAAAGTCTCTGCTTGGCACCCACTGGAAATTCAGCTTATAAGGGAGCAGAAATAGCAAAACAAAGGCTTTTAGGAGAATTACATCACCAGCCTGAATGCTTCAAAGCTCCTCAGAGCTGTGCTGGGGAGGTGCAGCTCCGAGCAGAGGTGTCACAGCCCCAGAAGCTTTTCATTGCTGATGTCTCAATCAGGTGCTGAGATCCCACCCGAGCTGTGGAGCCAGGCTGGGGCATGGGCAGAGCCTGGCAAAGCCTGGGAGCTGCCAGGTCCCCACTCTGGCACGTGTTTCTGTGCTGGGGAGCTCACCCCAGGGCTTGTGTGAGTCAAGGTGCTCTTAAATAAGAGAAAAATGTGATGCTGAAGTGGGCAGTACCTGCCCACGTGTAGGAGGGATTGCATTTGAGAGCTGGGACTTTATTGAAAGATGGAAATTGAAAATTTTCTTGGCTTGGAAGAGTTTTTTAAGGGATGGGGATCAGGATTTTCATTCCAGTTCCAGCTGAAGGGGAAAAAAAAACCAAAACTCAACAGACCCTCAGAGCTGGGCAGCTTTGGTTTGTGTCACTCCTTGGGCTCTGTGTTCTCCATTCCAAATGGGGAATTTGGGCTTTTCCCCTGGCAGGAAACCTGGGCAGCAAGGGAGGAACTGGCACCACTCCCTGAATAAAAACTGATTGGCAAAGAGGAGGAGGAGCCAGGAGAGAGCAAGGTCCAAACTTGTCAAGCAACATTAATTCTCCATCTTCAGAAGGGAGAGCACATCCAAAGGGGCTCAGCCTGGAGCAAAGGAGGCTCAGGGGGGACAGCCAGGGGACAGCAGGCTCTGCCCTCAGGGGACACCAGGACAAGAGGGAACAGCCCCAAGCTGGGCCAGGGGGGTTTGGGTTGGATATTGAGAAAATTCCTTCATGGAAAGGGTGGTAAACCCTGGCACAGCTGGAGCCCCCAGCCCTGCAGGGATTTAAAATCCATGGGGATGTGGCAC